CAGCTCGCTGTTCGGTCGATCGGGGAATTCTCTGACGGGCTTGAGCTTGTAGATGTACACGATTAGGAATAGTCTATATTCTGTGCCTCCTAGTTCCAAACGTACTGCATGATCTCCGACCAATTCCCGAACTCAGAATGGTCCGTGCCAGAGGTGGGCCAATTTCTTAGCATACCCTTCCTAGAATCCCATCCATGGACCAGATAGAACAGTGTTTCCTCCCGCACTCTGTCTTGAGCCGTGTTTAACGCGAACGCTAAACGTTCCGCGCATTCATGCCAGTCTCGCTGTCCCACGTCGGCCACATACATCTTGAGCGATCTTGTTAGAGTCTGGACCATTCTCTCCGCAGTGCCGTTCGCTTGAGGTCGGTAGGCCATGGTTGCTCTCTGACGTTGACCCACCATACGACTGAGCGCTCGGAAGAAGTCCGACATAAACCCCGGTTCCCGATCGTGACGGATCGTCTCACTGGCACCAAAACGGCGGAAAACGCATTCTTCATATTCCTCAGCTACTGTCTGGGCTGTCCGTGACGCACTTGCTTTAGCCATCACATAACCTGTGAACAGGTCGACCGAGATCAGTAGTTCCGTATTTCCTTTATGCGACTTGGGGAGAGAGGGTATGTGGTCCATCGCGATAATTTGGAAGGGGTACGTCGCTTCAACATTCCCCGGAGACTTCCCTTGTAAAGTGGGTCTCCCTTTCCCAGTCTCGCAATCCATGCACTGAACCACATATTTCTGCACACTCCGGAACAGACCCCTCCAATGGCGATATCGTCGAATCCGATGACAAGCACGCTTGATTCCCTGATGGCCACCTTATGTAATGGCTACATTACACATATAGCATTAACGCAAATAAACAATTACATATGTAGGCAGGTGCTGGGCCCGAATAGCGGGCACAGCGTAAAATTTTGGAAGTCCGTTTTCCAGGTGTTAGGCACCCGATTGGACATGTCCACAGCGGATCATCCGCAGAACGATGGTCAAAATGAACGCGTAAAGTGCGTTGTTGAAGATATCCTCCGCAGTGTTTGTGCTGAAACGCCGAAGCGATGGATCTCTATGCTCCCTGTAGTTGAGTTTGCACTCAATAACTCCGTGCACGACTCTACCGGCTACACTCCGTTCTATGCGAATGGTTTCACACACCCACGCGTTCCGTTAACGCTACCACCGAGTGGTTCAGGGCTTGGTGGGGGAGAGGTTGCCGATCGGCTTGCTGATGTCAGTCCTAATACTGTTAAGATACAGGTGAATACGTTTCTCGCAACGCGACTAAATGTCTTACGACATGTGCAAGATGCAATGGCTGATGGTCAAGACAAACAAAAAGAATATGCAGATGCTAAAGGCAGAAGCTGTATTGATGATTATGAGGTCGGAGACCAAGTATTACTTAATGCTAAATCCTACAATCCTACCAATGTAGTGCTGTCTTTAACACAAAGTTGCGTCCGCTCTTCATCGGCCCCTTTACGGTCGTGGCCAAGAAAGGCCTAGCGTATACGCTTAGTTTGCCGCGCAAATTGCGTACACATCCCGTGTTCTACGTCGGCATGCTCAATTATACCGGGATACGCCCCAAATAGAAGCTAAGGCGCTCGCGTCGAGTTCATCGGCATTGACGCGGGACGGATCATCTGCACCAACAGGTCAAGCTGACCCTGCACTAGGGTTCGGCTCTGTTCCAGCGACTCAAGACGGGAATTCATCGACTGCATAGTCTCACGGAGAGACTGCAACTATTGAAGTAGCTCGGCATGAGATTGTGTCGGTACTCTGGCCTCCTCCGGCTTTGCTCGATGCTCAGGGGAATCTTCAGTTCCATGTGGAGCGTCTACTGCAGAAGCGTCGCCGCCATGGTCAAACCCAGTATCTGGTAAAGTGGCGGGGTTATCCCGAGTCGTGGAACTTATGGATGTTCGAGTTCCCCTTCGGCAAAACTTCCCATACGCCGTTGACGGTTTGAACGTCGTGCGCAAGGTCAGCCTCTTGGCGCTGACGCTTCTCACCTGTAGTGGTGGGGGTAGGCGAGTTAGCGGCCTCGGACTGTCGTGATCTCGCGGCTACAGGTGTAGCCGAAACATTGGGATGCTGTGTAGCAGACGCATAATGCGTTCGTTAGGATTTCAATTTTCCTCGGGCCTTCAATTTAGCGTAATCGTAACGCATCTTCCGCTCGAGTCGAACATCTGCCACATCGGCACTTGCCCGTAGGGCCCACATGCTGCTTAAACGTCGCGCATAATGCGCCCAGCGGCTGAAATCCGTGTCTTCTTCTTACTCGGTTATCATCCGCGAGCAGAAGGATAGTGACACCCTTTATAGGAGAGACTGGTGCACCGCGCACTTGCCTGTCGAGGCGTGCCAAGTATTGGCTTTGTGTAGTGATATGGGGTTCCAGATACCTTTGTCGAAGTGCCGTTCGCGTGGCAACATCCTCGGGTGAAATGGCCTCAGGACTGATGGCGCAGCCAGAAAGAGAATGTCCGGATGCCTCCTTGAGGCGTTCTTCCACTGTAGGTGGTTTGAACCTGTACTGTCGGTGGTACTGAAGTCTCGCCATATTCTTCGTCCGGCGCTTGGCGCCTTCCTCTAGGTCGATGGTCTGCTGCTGCTGCTCGTCGAGTGGTTTAGTAAACGTCGCTGTTGATGATACGTTAGGCGGGTCGCGTAACGCTTTTAGCGCATCTGCAGCACCACGTTCAGGGAACGGATTCGGTGCATGACTAGTGTCATCTTCACCCGTAAGAGTGGTTAAAGAGGACTCATCGGGTCCCACAAAGACGGTGTCACTTTTGTAATCAACCGCTTCGTCAAGGTCGCCTTCGATAAGGTCCCGAGGATTCTGTGACTCATTGCTAGGAGGCGTCATGTTATGTGCCGTGAACAAACCGTAAGGTTCAAACGTTCGCTAAAGCACTACCTCAAAGAGGAAAGATGTCGAATGACATTCTATGGGAACGTCAGTCTGGTGGGGGAGGGTGCAACGGGGTTACACGACGCTTGTAACATCATTTCAAAAGTTTACGGTTGAAGTTTCCTTTTATTGCATATAATGCATTAGGATTGTTCTCTTTAGAGAGGTATTAAGTATAAGCGTTAAAGATACGGTATTCGGTAATACCGTATCCTATCGGATAGGATTCGATAATCGATAACGCTGTACTAAGTACATCATACACAGATGTTTAGACGATACGTCGTCCAATAGCAAAGTCTGCATATTATAATTACTATTATAGTAATTAATCTAGTGAGGGTACTTAGAGTGGGACTATTCATAAAATCTTAAAGCATCAATAAAATCAGTTCTCATTTTGAGTTTAACATCGCAAGTCGTTCTGACTTGTTCTCTTGTGCACTTTGTGCGTTGGTTGTCTGAACCTTTAAGCTTCTAGCTTGTTCTTGCACTCTGTGCGTTGGTTCTCTGAACCTTAAGCTTATTGCTTGACTGGCTAAAAGTCTCTTTCCTCGTTCCTTATAACAGGGTGACTTTAAGTCGTTGAATTAGTTCCTTAGAACTAAGTGGCTTTTAGCTTTAACTCTATTTACTTCTATATAACTAAGAGGCTTCCAGCCTAATGGCTTCCTCTAGCTAAAAAACTGTGCAGATCCGCTACATTCATACTCGTTCTTGTCTTTCACATGGTGCAGCACCAGAGCCAGCGTCTCCACCAGTGGACAGTACTTACCGTCAACAAAGATCTGCTTTTCCAATAGTTTCCGAGCCAGCAATAATTTGCTACTCTTTACGGCCGTCGAGGCTATCTGATACCACACGGCCACATTCATTGCGTCCAGTGCCAATGCCGAATCCAGAGCGTCATCAAATTATTGCGGCACAAAAATCATTGTCGCGAGGTTTTAGTAACGTAACTGATACCGATAGTATAAGGTATTACGTATACCTTATAATATCACTCATCTGTGATACCCCTTTTTAGAAAAATCGGTATAAAGAATACATAAAGAACTTCAACCGTAATGTTTTGGTATGATGATACAACCGTCGGGTAACTCCGTTACAATGCCAGTAACGCAAGCTGCTAATTAATTATCACGACATAGGTGTAGTACGCTTGCCTCTTCGCTATCATCAGCAGCTGCGTTCAGGGAAAGAATCTTGCTTTTGCAGATCCACCACCTTGTTCTTATTGCCGCTGTCGGGCGAAGTCATCTCCTGCGTGGCTACGATTTCACAATGCTGTCAAATTAATCGCTCAAAAATTAGTCTGCCTTGTAGGCTGAAAGTTGTAGCGGTCGCATTAACTATTGAAACCTGTACTACGGTAAATAGATCAAACGAGCAAGAAATATTGCGATTTTGCTAGTTATTATAACTTTAGCTAGCAGCTTTAGAATGCCCCCAATTTATCAATTTAGTAATGAGAGCTAGCTATTCACAATAGATGAACATGTCATCTTACATCTCGTTTTGCATTGAGCCATTTTGATTCGCGGTCGTATTCTTGAACTTGATACTGATCACACGCTTGCCAAACAGACTGTGGTGGTATCCCTTCTCGAATCGGTCGCGTGGGTTCGTGCGCACCATAAAAACGAAGCTACCTGTGACACACACCACAATCAGAATCTTGTAAATGCTGTCGATGTACGCGTCCTCGGCTGTGGCACCGTTCTTAATAGCCGCAGTGTACTTGGCGCTAAGATCAGTCCGCCCACCACGCCACCAAGCGACCACGCCCACAAGATCGGTGAAGGCATCGCACATGTCTGTCAGAAAGCACGGGATCGTGCCTAAACCGCCACCATACGACAACGTCAACTGGAATACGAGGACCGTTATGACTGTGTAGCTCTCATTGCGGATCAGCGTATGATAGCAATGATAACGATCTGTGAGACCACTCCGTAGAGAAAGAGGCATTTACGCGCGAATGCATGCTCAACGTTGAATACGCGTTTGATTACTAGTCGCCCAACAAAGCTGAATAGACCGTTGATGTACACGATGTAGATATTTTAGGCGGCCGTCTTGCCGAAGAGCGTGGTGGACATAGCGGAAATTTTGAACAGCATGATGAGCCTGTAGAGCTGGTTGCCAAAAAACATGATACACATAAAAACGAAGTCAGCGACGTCATTGACTGAATGAGAGTCATTTTCTTCACCTGGGCCTTAGTGTCGTTTGCGCTCGGGTCCTTCTCCTCGCGAACGGCCAGGTTCGCGACTGAATCGTACCCGAGCGAAGACCTAATACTCACGTTCTCGCCACGCTCCTGCGTCTCGTGAACAATTTCACCATGTATATTTAGTCCACCCAAAGAGGGCGAGTTGCGCAGCTGTACAAAATTTGACTCCCATGACACATCCAATGACGATGAGCAGGTCAAGCGAGCTGGGCAGCTCGCTAGTCCAAGCGATGATAGGGAGGTACGCCTTTGTCCACACGACCAAAGTCGCTCCCAGCAAAGCCAAAAACAGCTCCACGGTATTGGAAACGGGCCGACACGGGCGAATGTAGCATGTGTCGTTTTGCTAAAGCCGCAAAATAGCCCGTAACTAATAAAGAGACCAAAATAGCCCGTAATTAATAAACAGACCGGCAATTGAGTTAGCGTGCAACGAGATGCAGTCCATAACACAATCGATCATAAATGATGTCGTGGCAAGCATCATACCGGATCGAGGGCCATTGCGCTTTAGCCACGGACCCATGATGGCCGTCGTGGTACCTACCATACCCACAGAAATGTGTAGATGCATTAACCGCCATGCCTTGTCCTTCTTGCCGCAGATGCGCAGATCAATAGGATTGTGGGGTACCGACCATG